TGGCTCAGTGTTGGAAATGGACCTAACTTGGTGGGGTATGAATATTAAGCAAAGTGTTTGTATGTAAAGTTTGAATACGTTGTTTTGTGGTTTTTGATGCCTGCATTTTTTTTTATTTAATTGGACAAAGTAGATTATTTTATTATCATCCGAACTTTATCTCAACTATTTGAGGTTAGCTACATGAATCATATTCTATAATGTCTGCTTCATCAAGAGTCATACCTTCCGCCAGACCAAAGGTCAGTAAATCTATTAGCAATACTTCTATCTACATCTTTTTGAGCCTTGTTATTTTAGAACCTTCTATTTAAACCAAATTATCACTTCTAACTGGTGTTGTTCTAGAATCTAGATCAATGATATACATGGCTAGACTACTTGTCTACTTTTCTAAAAATCAAGTGGTTGGGACTACATCATTTCTTTGCACAAGTTCGAGGAAACCCTTATAACATTTTTGTACCAAAGGTAAATGTTCTCATCTAAACAAATTTTTATGACCCCAAATGAAAGTTGGAGACTAAGATATAGTTTTTATTAATCCTTTTTAGAAAGGGTGTTGTTTGTATAGAACCCAGGCTTTAAACATTCAAATAGTGTCGAGAAATGTGGTTTCAATATTGGAAATCTTTGTGATAGCCTTAAAATATATTTTCAATCTTGAATAATAAAATTTAAAGCTTCAAAAATAGTGTAGATCAAGCATATTTATGAAAATTTGGAACTCTTGAAAGTTGACAGTAAAAAAATGCGTTACAAGATGCACTATATCCAAAACTTGAAATCCATTTTTTTTCTCCCGTCCATGCATCTTGATGTCGAGATGATCAATTTAAAGATATTTGGGCATCAAAACAATCTCTTCTAGTGAAATTTTTGAGGTAGGCTCTAATTTGATTGTTTAGAGCCTTAGCTCTATATAAACTTTTTCCTTTTATAAAAGCAAAGTAAAACCTCATCTTGGATCCTTCGTTTGGATTGCATTTTGGCTATCAAAAGTCTCTATTTTGGCTCTAAAGTCATTTTTCAACACGATTATGAAATTTGAAGCTTAAAAATAATACATATATTTAAAATCTTTAAACACTTACTATTAGGGTGAAATAAAAAGTCTAAATAATTTATCACACTATACATTATTTTTAGAGCTTGAAATCCTAATTTTTTTCTCACAACCATTAAAAGTTCCCTGGGTTTGTCTTCTCTATCAAGATATTCCTTTTGCATTTGGGTGTTGCAATTTATCTTTGTGCATTACCTTTTTGAATGACAAAAGTGCCCCCAAAAATCCAATAAAAGCAAGGAAATGGAGGTAATAGCTAGCTCAACACTTCAGATGGTATTAGAAAAGGTAAGCTGGAAACAAACTTTTTTATTCTTGTGTTCCCTTTCTTTTTTTTAGTGACTTAAAAAAAAAAAAAAAAAATAGAGGATCGGTGGTCCTGATCGTGCACCCTAAAAACTAGCCAAGATCGATGAGTCAACAGTCCAAATTGTTATTTTACTACGTAAAAAAAAAATCCAGCGAAAACACGCATGAAAAAGCAATGAGCCGACCAAAAACCGATATGGATCGTAGTTTTACCATAAAGAATCGTCGTTTTAGTATATAGAACTACATGTGCCCTTCTAAACTTGTCTGTTTTTTCATATATAAACATATATATACATAACCGAAACGGGGGGACTGATTCGTGGGTCCGACCAACGTTCCAAATAGATAGTATTTTCACACTTATCAAACACGTTAAGTACTAAATGAGTTTGCTTTTCCATCATTGTAATCACATACAAAGACAGAATCTCAATATCCAGATTTTTCTCCTTCCCAACAAAACCAGTAAGGAAAATATGTGGCATTAAATACTAAGAGCCCATTTATTTTTTGTATAACAATCATTTTTAGTCATTGGATGTGAAATCGAATAAATGAAAATGTATCGCAACATTCAACAAATATGGTGACCTCCTTGAATAAAAAAAAATAGCCGCATTGTATACATTTCAACCTGATATTGAGTCCCAACACCATGAATTATTCTCAACGCATTTTAAATCTAACGATCAACAAAGATTGTGACCTCCTCATATCAAAAATAAATAGTCTCATTGTATACATTTCGACGAATTATTTTCAACACATTTTTTAGGCTTTTCTTATTTAAGAAATCTTTCGATTTTTAACATAGAATAATGGATTGTGAAATCTTGGGGATTTTACCACGTATTGGATTATTCAGATGCATAGAATAATGGATTGTGAAATCTTGGGGATTTTACCACGTATTGGATTATTCGGATGTACTCCACAAGCTCTTTTCCTCCAACATCTTCATTTTAGCATAAAGTACCACAAAAAGGGGAAATTGAACCTCTCCCATGTGTAATAAACCTTTGGGTTTTTACCACATATTGGATTATTGAGATGTATAGGGCACACATTGGATTATTGAGATGTATAGGACACACATTGGATTATTGAGATGTACAGTGCAGTGTTTCTTGAATCTTGATCGATGTGGAAGATCATTCACCAATCCAAATCGAGTTTTAATCATTCTGATTTAGTGATTCAAAAAAATAAAAATTAAATAAATTAAAATAGAAATTTATAAAGCTTCCATTTAAAGACAACTTCATAAAATAATAGATAAACTTAAAAAAAAAAAAAAAAAATTACATATAAAATTGTCTCTATATATTGTAGAAGCAATTATGAAGTACTTATGTTGTTATGATGGTGGCTGAAAATCTATTTTTCTTCCTAATTATATAATTTAAAATTTACACAAAACAAATCAATAAACATTTAGAATCTTAAGAATGGATGCCCTAGTTAACTTAATACAAGATGCACTATTTTTTTTAATATGGTCTTCTTTTTTTTCCTTCATGTCCATCCATCCTGACCTCAAAATGATCAATTAAAGGGTTCTCCAACTCTAATTCTATGGATTTTTGAAATGCACCTTAATTCAATAGTATAAGATTGCAAGTTACAACCTTACATAAACTTTTTCCTAAAAGAAAAAAAAAAATACGGGAGGTTGAGGGTAGCCAGGGCGCATATCATCCCCGAAATGCATATCATCCCCGAATTGGTCATGTTTTGACCGATTCCCATTTAAATTGGTGTTAGGACTGAATCCCATTTAAATTGGCCTAATGACTGAACCCCATTTAAATTGGCCTTATGACCGATTCCCATTTAAATTGGGAAATCGGCAGGTTCTACAACAAGCATAGCAAATATACGTAATCCCAAGTAGAACACCAATCTTAAGATTACGAATGTTTTTAAAATTGCCAAAACGACTCGGGACTTGGCTCGAGTTGGACCAATCGAAAGAAATATATACTTCCAATCTAAATGCATTTTGAGTAAAAATAAAAAATAAAGAAGGATACGCATGTAAAAACTTTAAAGGAAAATGTGGAAAATGTTTATACAAGGTTGCAACTTTAAAATCTAAAATTGAGATGCACTTCAAAAATCCATCCTAAAAGGCTGTTTTGATTTTGGAAAATCTTCCGTAATCGATAATCTTGACATTGAGATGTATGAATATTGAAAATACAATTGAATCCCAAAAATAGTATACCACGTAATATATGATCTAGACCGTCTATTTTCAATATTTTTATGTGTTGATAGACCTAGTTGATTTGGACTCTTTTTTTAGTTTAAAATTTTTCGACACCAAAAATTACATCTATGATAAATTTTGGAGGTGGACCTTATTTTGATTGTTTAAGATTTCAACCTTGTACAAACCACAACCAAATTTAAAATATGCAGAACATTTATTAATGGGTAATTAAGTCAATTTACCTTTATTCTTTTAAAAAAAATTAACAGTAAAACCTCCTCTAGAATTAATTTAAGGACCCCAAATTCATATTAGACCTCAATCCCCACCATCTGATCATCAACACAGATGGTCACGATTACGATGAGACATATCGCACTGCTCACAAATTAGTGAAGTGGGCAATTTCATTGTGAAATTCTCAAATGAGATATGTCCACCCATTCATATTAAAGCTATGGCTATCTAATTTGTACAGGTCAAATGGTTTTATAATGCATCGATATGGAAGTTTCTCACTTCCAAATTTCAAGTGAGGAGAAAAAAAATCGAAGGAATAAAGCCAAACATGTAACTCACCTAATCCAAAAATGAGAAAACTGATTTTTTGAAATCCAATAATCAGCATTCACAATGACAAGAAATTTGAAATATTTCATCACTTGCATGAACAAATAACAGTACACTACCTTCAATAATTCTCATCCACATATCCATGTACATGTTATGGAAACCAAAATTCTGGGGAATATTAAAAAAAATGTACTTTTTGTAAAATCTAGGAAACCTAATATATTGGGCAAAAGAACTGTGAAAATAATCAATCACAAGTTTTGAAAGAACAGTAAAAACTGATATCAGTTAAAAACAATAAACATCTAAAAATACCAGTTGTAGGGTGCTTAACCACTTATGCAATTTCTCAACAATTTGAGACTAAAAAGATCAAATTTGCTAATAAAAAGATCCAAATTGATAGCAGAGTTAACAACCCAAATAACTGGGTTGATAATTTAAGGCTCATCAGGATAGGGTTTCACAGTTTCAACCTCTATCAACTCCTGATAGCTACATGTGAGTTGAATTCTTATCCAACTCTTTTTCACAATTTTGATTTGAGTTCTCATACTCCACAAAAAGAAACAAAAAAGAGAGAGACCCATTTCCCAAAATCCAATATTGAAATAACCATGCAAGTTATCAAAGTGCAATTTTTTTAACAAATAAAACATCCTAAAGGTCGCAAAGAATCATGCTAAGATTACCATGAGTATATGATTCATTTACTGAATTTTCTCGCATTCACAAATTAATCTGCCATGCCATAGTATCATTATTTTAAGACAATTTATAAAATTAAATTAAGGCGGAAAACCCATTTGGGTTGTCAATACAAGCACTTCTCGATCACAATCAAAACCCTAAATTCAGAACCATCCATTACTAAAAGCCAAAATTATACACTACTTTAGACCAAGAAACCATGGTATTAAGATTGCAGTCCAAATCACTCCACATAATCAAAATCTTGGATCCAAAACTCACCTCAATATTCTCCATTAAACAAAACATCGTTCAAGCAGATATCCCAAAATCCTTATAATCGAAGGCTAAAAGGAACACACAAAAAAAGGATAAAAATCTAAGTAATCTAGAAGCAATGAGAATGAAACCCTAACCTCTCGATTTCAAGCAGTGAGCATCACAGCCCCACCAGCCTCCTTGATCTTCTTCTCCGCCCTCTTCGAGATCAGCTTTGCCTTCACGACGAGCGGCTGATTTGGAACCTCACCCTTCCCCAAAACCTTGAAGTACCCATACTTAGTAACATCGAGCAATGGCGCCTCTGATCCAGAACCAGCACTCTTCTTGGCCTCTTCAGGTAACAGAGACCAGAGCTTATCCACATTAACAATGGGGCAATAGAACTTGTTCCTGAGCTTGTGGAAATACCTCATTCCCACCTTTCCAAAATACCCAGGATGGTATTTGTCCATGAGGATTCGGTGATGGTGCAATCCTCCGGCGTTTCCACGACCACCAGGGTGCTTCCGGTGCTTGCCGATACGGCCATGGCCTGCGCTTACATGGCCGCGCTTCTTTCTGTTCTTCTTGAATCGAGTAGTCATGGCGGAGAAATTGGGTTTACGATTAGAGGGCGAGTCAGCCTCTCTGGTTGTAGGGGGCGGGTGAGCTTCTCTCTCTGGTTTTAGGAGAAGAAGGGGCGGAGGGAAATTAGGGTTAGGGTTTTGGGCGCTAAAGAAGAGATGAATATATAGGTCGGCGAAAGGTCGAAAATGGCATTAATTTCTATGATAGTTTACAACCTTAAGGTGTAGAATCATATATGCACCGCAAAAATCTATTGAAAATGTTGTTTTAATGGTGTAGAATCACATTTGTACTTCAAAAATCTATTGAAAATGTTGTTTTAATGTTGAATAAATGCTCTAATTAATTATATTAACATTGGGACGTATGAATATGAAAAAAAAAATTATTGAATCTCAAAAATAGTATATTTTGTAACATATTATTTAGACGGTCTATTTTTTAGATTTTTATATATTTAAAAATCTACTTGATTTTCATTATTTTTAAAATTTAAAATTTTCTAATTACATATGAAAATAGATTTTAAGATGATACGAAAAATATTTTATAACAAAATTACATGTTATGATAAAATTTTAGAATGTGCCTTAATTAGATGATTTAAAGTTGCATCTTTCTATAAAAGACAATTTACCCGAAATGTTTTCAAAAAGTCTATTCATTTATTTGCATGTCAAGATCATTATCAGAAAGTCTATTCATTTATTTGCATGTCAAGATCATTATCGAACGGTAGATACGAAATTGGGCAGCTGAAAATATATTTTAATTGGGTCTAATATATAATTTTTAAGGGCAAGCTTTTTATCCTGCCCCTATGTATCAAATTTATGCATACTTCCCCAATCTAATTGTGGTCCCAATACTTCCCCAATCTAATTGTAGTCCCAATACGATGTCATGTCTCTATACTATTGTATTTTTAATTTTTGTTTTTACAAAATTTTTGGACTCACACATATAAAAAAATATAAAACAAACATTATCGAAAAAATGAAATAACCAAAATACTCTTTAAAATTTCAAGAGGTATTTTGATTAGTATATTTTATAATAAAAATAATAATATTCTTTTACGTGTTTTTCATTGAGATGATGATATGTACCAAATTTTATATTTATATAATTTGTATAAAAAACTAAAAATAAAATGCTTTAAGGCATTAAATTTAAATCTAACGGTTAGTGGTAAACTTGATCCAAATTGAACGACTAGATAGAAGGAAGCATATATCTTCTATGCAGTAAAAGAAATATAGAAATATTTCACATCCGATGGCTCGCTAAAGTTAATTATGGCTTCCTTACAAGTGAATAGTCTTACATTGTAAAAAACAAAAAGTTCTAAATACCCCCAACCCCAAATTCACCTTTCTAAACATCCTACCCTCAAAATTTTTGTATCCCACTTTAGACCCAATCCCACCCTCAAAATTTTTGTATCCCACTTAAAACCCAATCCCAAATCACAAGGTCAAAAGTCCATAGATTTAAAACAAAAATGTCTTTACTCTCTCTTTTTTCTCTATTTTGTATCTTTGCCACACTCCATTTCCCAAAATAAAAACCCATTTTCTCTTTCATTCTCTCTTTCTGAAAATTGTAAATGCCCCCAGTACTAACAATTGGGTTAACATAATTGTACATTACAGAGAAAATTGTAGATACCCCTAAAATTGAACTTTCTAGATATCCTAGATCCCAAAAAAAATTTGTATCGCAATCTTAACAGAATTTTTTTTTTTGATTAACAATATTGTTTTTTCTTATATTTATCCCTTAAATTAAAAAGTACCAGATTTAAGATAAAATTGTCCTTACCAGATTTAAGATAAAATTGTCCTTACTCTCTCTTCTCTATTTTGAAACATGACTCTCTCTCTCTCTGCCCACACTCCCAACGAAAAAGCCAGTTCTCTCTTACTCTCACGCTCTCTCTATCTCTCTCATTCTCTGGTAATGAGATCCAACACCCAATATGCCAGACTGTATTGAGTTCCAGTAACGTGGCTTGTAGAATTTGAAATTTTTTTGCGGTCTGGTTTTGTGCCGCATAAAGCAATTCTTTCTCTGAAACCCCAGTTGTGACATTAGCAAGAAATATCAAATGAAACAGTGCAGACGCAAAGAATAATGTGAAAAATGGCTTAAGAGTGTAGCCTGTTGTCACAGAGCTGCAAGTCGTAGATTCATGATACATCCCAAGAGGGAAATCATAAATCTTCCCTTGCAGGGTAACTATCAGAGAGTTTGGGAAAAGGTAAGGGACACACCCTCTAGAAAACCACTGCGTCAAGTATTCTCTCTCTAGAAAACCACTGTGTCAAGCATTGTTCCCAGAGTCTGAATTATGTTTGAAGACATCAAGTTCGAAACATGCTCCTCCAAATGCTTCTTGGCGTCTTGCCTTCCAACATTGGCAATGGCGAGCTTTTCTGGGGGCAATTCATCCTCTTCCTGAACTGCTTTGTTATACTTAATAGCCAAGTTCAGCATCTCCTGCAAATGTAAAACTCAATTTCAGAGGGAGACAGACAGAGGGCGAGCTTTCGATATGTAGAAAGCGAGCAAGGGAGAGTTGCAAAGATAGACATGGCAGACACTATAAAGTCCTGAATTTAGCCTGAGCAAGAAAGAGAGCACAAGTAGCTCTGATAGACAGACCCAACATCTCCTACTGTAAATTTGGCACGAGAGAGAGAAAAGTTTACAGATATGGCAGACACTGTAAAGTCCTACATTGAACTCAGAGAGAGAGATATGCACCATAACAAAACATATTCTAGCATAATCTCAACATGAGAGATTTGCACTATCACCATAAATTTCCAACAAACTTTAATATGAGAGAGAGAGAGAGAGATGCATTTGTAACCAGACGCAAAATTCCCTGCTAAGTTAACCTCAATGAGAGAGAGTTGAGATGATAGACTCAATCTCATATTTTAACCATAGCATGATATATATATATATATATATATATATAGAGAGAGAGAGAGAGAGAGAGAGAGTTGTTCCGACCTGCACAGTCTGCTCATTAGTTTTTGAATGGACATCAAACCGTTGCAGTGTCAAACCATCAGTCCACTTCTTCTTATGGAGGTTAAGTAACATCTTCTCTTCTAGTTCATTCTTTCTGTAATTGATGGCTATAGAGTAGTAGTGCCTGTTGAGCCCATGGATCAAGGCCTGTAGAAATGTTACATAAAAGAAGCCACGTTAGAAGAGAATAATTTATATCATCTTTATGAATGAGATTCTACATATGGTAATATCTCTCCACCTGAATGGATGGCTTGTTGAGGTGCCCAAGGTTCGAAGTGGTTTGTCGTGGCTCTTGGCCAAGCATCATGGTCTGAGGATTGATCAAGCGAAAAGCATCAATAACAACCTTACCTTTGACACTTTGGATTGGGTCTACGACCACTGCAACTGCCCTTTGGTTCAAGGCCTCAAAACTCTGCAGCAGCAGCAAACAACCGTGTTAGGAGACATTACATGTGGTTTAGGCATTAGTACCCACTCGAAGAAACAACCGCATCTCTCTCTCTCTCTCTCTCTAGCATCATTCTTGCTTTCAGGTTCCTTTATTTCTTTCTCCTTTCTTTTGATCAACCTCTTGCAATGGGATTCCATTATACCAATTGTATCATTCTTTTCTATATTCTCCTGACATTTTCTTAATTAATAGTTCTTCACGCAACACAAGCATCATGAAGTAGCATTAGATTCTGAAGGACAAGTTATATAATTACTCATAGGGAGGCATTACAGAAATTCTAAGTCTGCAGCAAAAACTTAAAAAGATATGAAATCATCAATGCAACAGCCCATGAGAAATACAAATACGCCTCAAGCCCTAGATGAATCTTGTCAAGTAAAAGAAAGCACCCTGAGATTCTGAAGGTCAAGTGATATAATTACATATAGGGTGGCATTACAGATATTCTGCAGCTAAAACTCAAAAGATATCAAATCATGCATATCCTAGATGAATCATAAAGAAAGTAACAGCGGGAGATTCAAGTATTAGATTCTGAAGGTCAACTAATATAATTACTCATAGGGAGGCATTACAGATATTCTAAATCTGCAACTAGAACTTCAGAAGATATCAAATCATCAATGCAACAGCACATGGGAAATACGAATATGCCTAAAGCCCTAGATGAATCTTATTCACCTTGTGACAGTTGTGTTCTGTCAAAACCCAAAAAGGTACATGAACAAAAAACCATTGGTACCATAACAAAATCAAGCAGACTAGAGTTTCGGGTGGAAGCATGAGCTTTAAACATGTGATAGCATTAACAGAAAGGAAACCAAGGTCAACAAGAAACACTACGCAACCTGTTGGGTATTTATGTCCACCCCAGAAAGCCAACAACCAAAGCCTGGATGTGAATGGTACCAGCCCACAACCATCTCAGGTCTGCAAAACCAATTAGCAATATTAAACAAAAGAATCATTCATCAAAAAAAATATTAACCAAAAGAACCTACTCATCTGAGAATGCAAAGTAATAAATGAGTCATAACTAAAACAACAAGAACCTCTGGGTGAGCCACTACTTTCATTTGCATGAATGCCCAACAAAGAGTAAAGCACAATAAGATCACAAAGGCATTAGTGTATAGAGAAATCCTCTATGACCGGGAAGGGGCTTGGATCGTGGTGGTAGTACCCCATACCCTAGGCACCATGTTATGGTTTCCAGTCCCACAACTAACACCACTCCACTAATACCTTCAAAAAGCTAACTCCTAATCTACTTGAAAAAACAGGTAGGGGCCTGTCTTCCTCACTGAATTACCCAAAAAAAAAAAAACTCCTCTATGACCATATCTGCCAAGTCACATCGCCATATCCCCACATTAGAGCAAACAGGGAAGCACCATGTCAGAGGTGGTCAGGGGAGTTGGGTGCCTCAACGTGACGTCTAGAGTTTCATTATCACCAGTTACTAAGTCAACATTCAATACACACACACTGACGCACGTAGCCACATCTAAAAGAAATGGCAGAGGAAGCAGTAGAAGAAACCAACCCCCACCCACCTTACAAAAACTCCATGAAAACATATGAAATGCTAATAAAAACAAGAAACAAATGACAAACACATGCAAATGCATATATACACTAAAGGAAGAATAGCACCAGAACGGACTAAATGGGCATCCAAGAAATGTAAAACCTCATGATGCCCACAAATCCCAACCTCACTAAACCCTTCATAACAAAATATTAATATCTTTTTTTTTTTTGGAATGTGTTAACTTTTCTATTGAGTTTAAGAGTGTACTACAAGTTCACAAAAAATTAGGCTTCCCACAGACCGGGAGCTCGATACAACAAATAAGCTTCCCTTAGAGCAGGAGCTCTATACAAAAAGAAAAGGCTTCCCACACACAGGTAGCCCAATAAAAAAATCACCAGGCGGGAGCTCTTGTGTTTTATTTTTTTTTGGGAGGGGGGTTAAATATCCACTCCTGACTTATTAGAAACACCCCTCTAATCATTACCTTGAACCCCACCTCAGCCCTAAAGATCTAGGAATACTGTGCCTTCAAAGAGCTCTCATCTTGTTAAGAGGAAACACCCTTGATACACCCCTTCCCAGAGATCATGTCTCAATCCCACCCGACAATTATGGTACTCCATCAAGGAAGAAGTCAGAATGAACCCCCAATAAACCCCTGGAGACACTCCACACCCTGTGTTCAGAAACAGCAATGAAGCACAAGAAAAGGTTTGACGGAATTCCTCCAATGGCCCAAATTATTAGCATCAACAGAAAACATGGGATCTGCTAATTCTAGTGAAAATAAAATATAATAATCCCAATCCTTGCTAGCTACATGCTGCAGAAATCTAGGGAGCACACCCTATGTCAACACGTAAAGGACCTTCCACTCCAGGCTAGGTACAAACACTAGGAAATGAACCAATCAAACTAACATCAAAACTACAGTAGAGGCATACCTCAAAGAAGTATACCCTTAGAAAGGATAGTAACATAGGCAGGACATTCAAATTAACAATCACATTCTCTCCTCTGTTTTTCTCATAAAATTTTATTAATACACAAGAACAGCACAGCTAACAAAATGATGTACAGTATAATTACAATAGGGACGTAATTCCCAAACACTCAAACCTTATATCACACTTCAAGCTAAGGCATCAGCCAAGTCATCTGTTTTTCTATATCAACAACAAAAAGAAAACTCCTATGAGCTGGCTAAATTAGGCCTTATTTGGATGGACCAAAATTTGGGAAAAGGGCAAGCTTGGTCTGCTCCACAATTCTGAGGACCTCCCTTTCGTAATCCCACTAGAATATCCTGACAATCAACAAAAAATTCCTGTTTTCCCCCCATATATAATCAACTCCTTCCATTTGTACAGATGTCAGTCAAATCATCCAAGAGGCGCCTTACGAATGTTCTTCTGAAATGTCAGTGATTCTCCAAGGATTACTGGATTCCCGCCCAATTCATAAGTTAAGAGCCACACACAAATACGACTCTTCGTACAACCCCTTCGAACATTACACTCCAAAACTGTAATGATAACAATAACAGAAAATATAATGATTTGGAATTCCAAACTATATTCACAAAGTTTATTTAAGCAATGGTGATGCCTCTATAATCTTTTGTATGTTTTCAACGATTTGATAGGCAAGCCCATGCTTCCCAAGGAATGCATTGAACTCCAAACATGCCAATACGTTTTTTAAAGTGGCAAGTTTCAATTCACTGGTTTCTAACCCTACTTTCAAACAATGGATTTCCAAAGATGAAGAGGTTAAGGAGGCCATGCGGCTAGATGATGACATCAACAATAATGACCTTGGTGATTCTCACAAGAATGGTTTAAAACAACAGCAGTCACCATTTTAGAAGAAATATTGGATTTGAAATATCAATATCTCATTTACGTTGAAGTTAACATTTCTCAAAAAAATATATATATCATTTACATTTACTTGTTGTGAAACTCTAATTTTAATCCACAAGTCATATTAAATTTGGTTCTGATGGAGTTCAAACAATGAAAATATTGTTAAAGCCTCAACTATTACTAGGAGTAGGAGCATTAATTTTTATGGGATCCCATATTGATCCAATGGTCGACATTATCAATGTACGATTGCCAATAAAAAGGCTTTTTACTATCATATTAGTTATTAAACAATAAAAATTATTTGATTTAGATTGTAGATGAGGTTGAAATGTGGTAACAAAATCTTGTTTTGGAACCAATAAGTTCCTGTATTATTTGACTTTTTTTTTTTTTGTGAAGGTAACACTAAGCCGACCCCGATTATTTGGAAAAAGGCTAAAATGATGATGATGATGAAGATGAAGGTAACAACTAAAGGGTGCGGTTTGTATAGAGCCGAGGCTCTAGACAATCAAAGTAGAACGCACCTTCAAATAGTGTCGAGAAATGTGATTTCAATACTGAAGATCTTTATGATAGCCTTAAAATATAATTTCATCTCTAATTATAAAATTTAAACCTTCAAAATACTGTAGATCGAGCAGATCTATGAAAACTTTAAAATCTTGAAAGTTGACGGTCCAAAATGAATTACAAGATGCACTATTTCCAAAACTTGAAATCCATTTTTTTCTCATGTCCATGCATCTTGATGTCGAGATGATCAATTTGAGGATATTTGTGCATCAAAACAACCTCTTCTAGTGAAATTCTTGACGTACGCTCTAATTTGATTGTTTAGAGCCTCGGCTCTATATAAGCATCTTCCATATATTAATATGTATCTTATAACTACAAAAACTCACAAGGAGTGAGTAAAGGCAGCCCACAGGTTGGGTGCTTGTACAAACAACAAGAAAAGAGGAGAAAAAAGAAAATAAAGAGAGATTAAGGGGCCGTTTGGACACCTGAAAATATATTGTCTGTGAAATATATTACTGGCGTAATTCATTACTGCGTAACACATTACCTGTAAATGGATTGTTACTGTTTGGGTAGTATTTAGATGCAATCTGGGAAATACATTGTTATAGTTTGGCTATGTCTAGAAGAAATATAGGAAATGCATTACCAATATTTTACCAGCACATGCCAATATTTTACCAGCACATGCCTATAAACTATCATTTCTTTCTTTTTTGTCACAAAATTCCACTAAAATGCATAATTATCATTTCCTTCTTTTTTGTCACAAAATTCCACTAAAATACTGAATTAAAATCATCATCACACAATTCCAAAAAGATTTCTAATAATAACATTATCACCATTCCAAAAAGATTTTCTAATAATAACTTGTACCATTTTACAGTCATGACACTATTTCCTACTTATTTTAAGTGCCTTTGGCACTTATATGCAATCACATGTTTTCTAACATGACATTGGTTTCAACATGATAAGTCATTGGAACAATATGATTGGGAATAACACGATTTTATTATGGTAAGCCTTATTTTTATTTATTTTTTATAGAAGTCTTTCAAATGTCTCTCTATATAATTTCAAATAAACAATAAATTTATGATACTAAATTCAAAATCGGTACGGTACGAATTTAAAAAATGGGAAGAAGTTTGATTAGTAAACTAGAATGTCTGGTAATTGCAGTATAAAATTTTGAAGTATTGGAGGAGACTAAAGAGCTATGTTATTTCAATTGAGATTTTAGTAATCTCTTATGAGGATTATGTTGTGTGAAGTTTTTTATTATGATTGTGTTGTGTAATTTATCATTGATTACTGATTTTTATTTTATTATTTTTGTTTTTATATGACACTGATGCCTTCAGATGAGGGGACGAGCTTAAAAAGGGAGGGATCATATTATGTTGTGTGAAATTTTTTATTATGACTATGTTATGTAATTTCTCATTGATTACTAATTTTTAGTTTTATTATTTTTATTTTTATACGACAGCTGATGCCTTCAGATAAGGGGACGAGCTTATAAAGGGAAGGATCACCTAATTATTTTGAAGAGAGAGGGCTTAGAAGATTTTTTTAATCAGGGATAGGGTAGGAAAAAACAAGCGAAAGATTTCTCAAAATTACTCGTCACTCTTTCAATAGATTTTTCACCTATCACCGCATGTAATCGATTTCCTGATTTTTAGGGAAATCTCACGTAATCTCTTTCCATTTCCTTACTATTAAGTGTACCCAAACAGTGGAAATGCCATATTTCCTTGTAATCTATTGTCATGTAATAGATTTCCAGGTACCCAAACGGCCCCTAAGAGAGAAACGCAGAGGAGAAAAGAAAAGAAAGAAACTACTAACCAAAAACAGAGATGGGGAGATTACAAAGGATACATTAGATTTTAAGGGGAGATAGAGAGATAGGCGTAGAAAGTTGTGCAACAAGTTAGAGAGCGAATAGTGTCGAGGTTGTGGGCCAAGAGGCCAAAAAGAAGAAAGGAGAGAGGAGAAAGAAAAAACGAGAAAAAGGAGAAAGGAAAAAGAGAGAAGGTGTCCTCTTCGCAAAAGTCTAAGGCTCAGGAGATAAGTGTGAGTGGACTGTTTTGGGCTCCCCATTTGGCCAGATGGGCGTTTTCATGATTTCTTTCCTGCCAGGTATGCTGGGAAACAGATTGTAGTGGCCCACATAAGAAGTGAATATAATCAAAAATATGTAGAAGATGCCAAGGGGGTTCCAAGGGGGTTCCGAGGATCTGGATGCCCAAGAGATGACATTCTGAGAGTTGGTCTCAACGATAAGATTGTTGAACGAGTTGCGTTGGAATCACTTGAGAGCTTCAAGCAAAGCAGTAGGGTCCACCCCATTGGAGTATCCTCGGCCATACGGATGGAGAAAGAAAGGAGACAGTTGCCATTGTGATCTCTGAAAAGCCTCCTGCTCCACGTAGGCCAGGGCCGCCCAGAGAGCAGCTGTCGATATCGTCCTTAATGCTACCTTTTGGGAGGGGAGGGGGAGGGGGAGGGGAGGGTGAGGGGGGGGGGTGAAGGGGCAAGCGCAAGGCTAGGCAACACTAGGGCCTATGATATGGAGCCAATTGTTTTGGAAGTCAAAGGTGGTGAAACCCTTGAGTGCTGTAGCCATTGCCATGTTCCTTATATCACAAAAATACGGGAATTTCTTTCCTTTCAACTAGACCACAAGGTCCCTTGGATAGAGGCTCCACGCAGGAAGGTCCCTGACCTAGTGAGTGGAGGTGAGAAGTGTGAAGCAAAAAGGCCATTGATATCCAGGGGAGTAGCCCAGTAGTATGTTAAATCCCCCAAGGGTTTGCTCCAAACTGCTCAAGCGCAGTTACAGTTGATAAAAATGGTGAAAATGAGATTCCCCCTCTGCCTCACACAAGTGACATCTGTTGGGTAAACTAAAACCTCTTCTTTGGAGCTGGTCAATGTTTAGGTTTTTGTATGAAATAGTTAGCCACGAGAAAGCTTGAATTGTGGGTGTGATGTTAGTAAGTCAGGCATTGTGATGGGCAATGGGGGAAGGAGGTTGTTGTTGAAGCAAAGATCTATAGTAGGAGGCCACAGAGAAATTCCAGAGTGGTGCTTGGTCCAAATAAATTTGTCCGTTCCCATCCCAATGAGAAAAACAGTGGCTAGGTGGCTGAGGAGGTCAAGGAGAGAGTCAAATTCATGGTCTTGCAGTGCTCTTCTGAAAATGTGAAGCCCAGATTTGGTGTGTGCCATTAGGTTGAAAGTAATTGTCAATCATGGCATTAGGGTTAGAAGCAAGTGAGAAATGATTTGACCACATGTTTTTTGAGGTATTATCCCCAATTAAAGGTGCTTCTAGAATAGGACCTTGGTGCCAGAGTTGATCTGATGCAAGGTAAGAAGCTATCCTTGCAAGAGTATATACTTTTGAAGGAAGCAGATGAGGCAGCCAATCTAGAATTGTCAGGTAGAAACCAATCCATAAAATCATACACATATTATTGACTAAGAACACTATGCAAAAGGGAACTGTGGTTGATACAAAAGCGCCACACCATTTACGCAGAAGGGCGCTGTTGGTGGGCCTAAGATCCATGATCCCAAGGCCACCATGGGATTTAGGGAAGTAAACTTTGTCCAGGCATTGAGTGGAATCTTTTTCTTCGATATGACAGCTAACAAAGGAAGTTCCTCATGAGTTTGTTGAGGATGTTAATGGTGGAGGCAGGCATGATGAAAAGAGACATGGTGTAGATTGGTATACTTGATAGGGACTCATTTAATGAGGGCTATTGTACCCTCCAAGGATAAGAATCTGCCCTTCCAGGAGGCAAGTTTCCTCTTAGAAGTTTCAATAATTGGGTCCCACAAAGCTTTTCCTAGGGTTTCCAGCGCAAAGCGGCAGCCCTAGTTCTTTGGTGGGGAGAGAGTCAGTAACTCACTATCACATCCAAACCTATTAGCTAGGAACTGAAGCTGATGAGCATGGATATGGATTCCTCGCAATGTGGATTTAGCCATGTTGACTTTCAATCCCATGGCCATTTTGAAATATCTTAGGAAGGTCCAGAGGCTATTTATCTACTAAACAGTAATGTTGAGGAAATTGAGGGTGTCATCTGCATATTGTAGATGGCAAATGTGTGCCCCAGCTGAGGAAATTTTAAACCCTTCAAGAGTCCCCATGTGAAAAAGTGTAGAGATGGATCTACTGAAGATCACTGTCAGAATAGCAAAGAGAATGAGGGACAGAGGGTCTCCCTGACACAGGCCTCTGGTGGATGAGAAGTATCTTTGAGGTGACTATGTTTGTCAATGTAGTGTGGGGCTCGATGCAGGGGACTGATGCGGTGCCCTTGGGGGATGTGATGCAGGGGAAATTGCGGTGATCATTAAATGAACTAGATTCTTCATGATGTAGAAGATATGGCACATCACACAAGGCCACGGGGTCAAGAGAAAGGCTGATGGGGTAAACAGATGTACAAAAGTGGCATGTGGCAGTAGGAAGTAAGAAATCAGGGTGTTTTGGTTTGGGTTAGTAATCATGGTTTGGGATGGGACAGGTATAGGGACTAGGTTTGGAAGGTATGGATGAGGCTGCGTTTTGGTACCAGAGGAGTTGGATGTGTAAGGGTGATCTGAGGAGGCAGATCCTATAGCTTTGTAGGCTGGCACGTGTACAACAGCAGCCTACCTCTTGCGTTTGGATTGTACATTGCGTTTGTGAACCATCATGGTCCAAGTATTATCTTCAGTAGTATGGTGAGGAGTGGCCTGAATCATGGTCGAGCAATGGAGTTTCGACTGTGATTGATATTTTTAGGTTTGTTGAGAATGGAGATGGTGACCTGATAGAGGAAATTGTCGATGGAGATATTGATATGGGTGGGATCTTATCCTCGTGGATGAATCGGATTAAGATGATGGTTGATCCCAGAGGTAAAGATTCTGCATACGAGGTTTCGAGCTTGATAAGACCTTTGTACTTGCCTCCAATTGCCCTGAAAGTGGAGGTGTGGCAGGCATGGAGAGGAATGCCTGGATATGGATCCAGAATACTTTTGTTAGGAGTAGAGGAGAAAATAGGATCCCAAAGAGAGAGCACCAATCTTCCTCTCCCTAAAGGAAAGGTTTTTCTGAGCAGTGGCTTTGAGGGCTTGCACTTGTGTAGGAAAGGGGAAGAGGTATTGTCCTTTAGACAGGACATGGCAGTCTACCCTAGTCTGCTTCCAGATGTGAACTGCCCAAATCCAGATGTTCTTAAAGTCGTCTCTTTGGGAAAAGAAACATGCCATGCAAGAGTTCCTCGGTGTGTTTGATCTTGCATCCAGAAGACTTCCTTGCATGTTTAGGGTTTGGGTTATCGGCTGGATCATAAAAGATAATGCCGAGTGATGAATTTGTTTTTGATATAAGTCTAAAGGGGGTGGAGGATTTCAAAGTTTCTGTGTATATGTGACTTGGAGGTTAGGTTGTGGTTGTGAAAATGGATTGAGCGGTTTGGAGAAGGTGGGATAATCTCTTTGGAGATGGTCCCAGTAAGTATGTGTGAGTTTGATGGTGGGATAATCCATTTAGAAGTGGTCTTGGTATGTGAGTGTGGGTTTATTGATTTCTGGTAGATATCTTTATGATAGAAGTGGAATAAATGTGGTGGTGGGTGCGAAGCAAATGCAGTATTCTGTTTGTGAGTAGCTTTGGTAGGAGTGGAAATTAAGCAGTGCGTAGGGTAAGAGGAGAGCACAGAGAATGTTAAAATGTGAGCGGAGGGTCAAGTAAAGGAGAGAACCACCCCTCCTCTAAGAGAAGGGGAATGAAAGGAGGGGAAGAGGTGAAGCCAGTATTAGAAGAGGGTTATGGACTTACAAGAGGTGCCAGGAGGAAGGAGAGTAGGAGATGGAAGTTGCTATTTGACATTATTCCATTATTTATGTAAAACTCATAGATTTTAGCGCTATAGAAGTTTGTAACATTATACTTGAGTACGAATATATTCTTATGCACTAGCAGTTTCTTATAATTTTCCACTATTGGCATTCTCATTGAATTTTTTTCTTTATAAATCTTACGCCTCATATGTAACGCCATTTTGGATTCTTGACCTAGTATGACTTCTCATCTGGCCTAAAATCCCATAAACTTAAAAAGAGTCAATCTCAGAACAAAGCAGTCAGCAGTCCAACCAACAGCCAACAATCCAGTAGTATGCCTCTCCACATGCATCCTTGTTGCAATGCAACTCCAATGGGTTAAAATCACAAAGTGATCAGGGGAATCTTCTTTTGAATTAGTTGGTGATGTAATTTAAAGGAGTAGACAGATAAACAATCCTTGGACCACATGAATCATATAGTCGTACACCAAACAAAGAAAAGTTACTCTTACACAACAAGAAATACAACAATCAAAAAGTTGGAAGAGTTGGAGAAAAACAATTATGGAAGCCAAATTACCAAACATACCAATCCACAACAGCATAAAATAGATGAGGAAAAACACCAAGGAAACCAAATGTACCTTCCAGTCTGCTTGAGCATATCTAGCATATTTGTCTGAAAAACATGATCAACAGCTTCGACACTCACTCCAGTTCCACTTTGGGGCATTGCAAACACATCCACAACTCGCACGGTATATTCATCCACAAACTCACCAAGCATCAGGCCCATAACTTCCATGGGAACTCCAGCTCTTCCTGATAACAAAATGATAAAACAAGTGGAAGGGAAATGAGATATCCAAAATACCAATCTATCCAAATTAATTGGGCAGAATATAGAAGAAAGAAAAATCTAGCTTTTTCTTTTCCTTTCTTAATCACAAATATAGAGAAATCACGTTATCTTACCATGTTTGAGCATCTTGAGAAGAGCAAGGGAGGAGATGTAGACCTGTTCAGAAGAGTCGAGGAGAGGTGAATCTGGAGGCGGGTGTGCCATACTTCCAGCACCAGAGAAGATTCTCTGTAGGCGTTCCATTCTTACTTCTTACAACTCTTTGTCTCTAATGGGCAGTAAGGAACTTTATTTCATTACGAGAAGTAAAATAGAACCTACACTTATGAAACATGCAAAATTATTTAGGCAGAGTAGAAATAACAGATCCACAACATGAGTAAAACAGAATCAAACAATAAAAATGAAGAATAGTAACTACCAGAATTCATAAGAGAAAAACTCAAAGCGGTGTCCAATAGAAATAAAATAAACTAAACACAGAGACTAATGCTCATCAGATGAATATAACTGAAAAAGATTTCCAATGCCAATAAAAATTGAAAAACAACAAACCACTAAAAGCATAAATGTGGAAGATAAAAATATTAGTAGTGAAGCAAAATGATAGCCAAAGCGATCTAGAAGCTCATTCAGCTAAAAAATTGATGCTTTAAATAGCTTTGCAGAGGTACAACAGAATTTAGAGAACTGGGTATCAGAAGAGAGGGAGAAATCATGGCAAGTAGTTTCTAGTTCTACAAGAGTAAGGAGAAATACAAGGTAACCAACTACCACAGAAAGTGCACAAAGAATTTTGGCAGCATGAACAAATAACACTCATATCCACTTCAAAAATTCAAACAAAATCACGATGAAATCCTTTAAATCACACTAAAAATTAGGAACCCCAATGAAAAGGAATACGTTCTCTCTCCACAAAGAAAACCCAATTTCCACATTCGATAATTGTTGAACCCAAACCCATCTATCCCCAAAAAACCCAAAGTCCACAAACTAACACCCAATGAAAATCATAACAGGTAAGCTATAATCAGAAAAATACATCAACCCAATAATCTTGATATGAAACTATATAAGTTAATCTACATAAAATCATGTTTCCGTAACGTAACAGAGAGAGATTAAACTAAGCATAATCTAGAGAGAGAGAGCCTGCTAAGTTCGAGTTCGAGTTCGAGAGCCTTTAGAGAGAGAAGTCACAGGCAAGGGAGAGAGAGAGAACCTACTCAGTTCTTTTCTTGAGTCACAGGCAAGGAAGAAAGACGGAGCCTTTGCAACGGTGTGTGTTTATATAGAGGAAGCAAAACCAAATCGTGCATCGTAGGAGTACACTATTAGGTGCTCAGACCAAATACTCACCGTCCATTATTATAACTGAGCGGTATTATTGACTTTATATCCGCTTTCAGATTGCCTGCTGTTTTCAATTGGGGAACGTTAATCACACTCAGGGACGGTGGATTATTGAACTGATTAATACCGCAGTAAATCAAACATCTTAAGTAGAAAATAAAGATGATCATTTTTTACTATAATATTTTTATTTTAAATTTTTCTATTAATTAGATTGACACATAGGTGTTTGCACTACCAAAAAAAACAAAAAACTTAAATATATGTTTTAGTTTTCGTTATTATCAAATTACCTACTTTTCATTATCACTAATATGTCCGTTTTTTAGACTTCATAACAACTTAAAAAAAAATCTTCCCATTTTATGTTTTTCAAAAATCGAAACGAAACAAATTTGAGGTTTTTCAATAACCGAATTTATATTTCTCTCTTGTGGATCCCCTGCATATTCCCTCGCTACCTCTCTCTCTTTATCGACTAATCAAGTTCAAAAACTGAATTTTTTTTAAATTCAGTTTTTAAACAATCAAATTTATTTCTCTAAGAAGAAAACAAAAAACTTTTCTCTCTCTAAACGAAAACCTAAACTCTCTTCCTCTCTCTCTCCCTCTCTCTCCCTCTCTTCCCCTCTCTCTCTAAAACATAAAGATTTTACATGAGCTTTCTCCAATACTCTCTCCCACCCTTTTCTCTCTCTAGAAAAACTTAGAAAACTTATATAGAAACTTAACCGCAATACTTTTTCTTTCCAACATACACCATTTCTGATTTTATATCAAAAACTCTCTTTAATAAGAAAACTAGAAAAAAAATTTCTAAAATTGTAAATCCTAACTCGCTCAAAATGCGAAGACTTTGAAGACCTAAAAAACTTGCAAAAAATTGTGGAAAATGGAAAGCTTCGGTGTGTTGATGACCCAGCCCATGATGCCCTACTTTCAAGATGAAATCTCTCTTCAATTCAAACTCTTCAAGCTATATATGGGAATGTCCAAACCATGCCAAATTCCTGTCAAGAGGCTGGATGAAACTTACCCAAAAAACTATATGGGAATATCCAAACCAGGCCAAATTCCTCTCAAGACAATCGGTGAAACTTACCCAAAAAAAAAAGACGTTCGGTGAAGGGGAGAGAGAGAGCGAGTTCCATGAGAGGGAAAAAATTTCTGCTCTTGAAGAAATAAAAATTTAAAATTTTTAATTTTTAAAAAACAAAAATTTTCATGATTTCGGTTTTTGAAATACCGAAAATGGGTAGTTTCATCTTTTTAAAAAAATTTATTATGAAGTACAAAAAATGGACATATTAGTAATAACTAAAAGTATTCGATATTTTGGTCATAACGGAACTAACATAGAGATTTACGTAATTTTTTCAAAAAAATAAAAATTATATTAAAAAAAATAGCCTTGAAGATTTTAGTTGTATTCCTTTTCTCTTTTGCAAATTGTTTTTTAGATGTGTGTGTGATTGAAGGTTGTGCACGCTTCCAAATTTCAAACTAATCTAAACTATGGGAAAATTTAAAATAAAACACTACAAACAGTCATGACCGATCTGTTTTCTTGTCTTCTGATCTAGCACATTGGGAAGGTGCTTGCATTATAAGTGTCCACATTATGTAGATGCTTTACTTGCTTATAAGGTTAGTAATCGGGTACTGAGTACTAGATAGTTACAATGTCATGTTGGGGGTTTGAGGTGAGTTGCGAATTCTGAGATTTTTTTTAAAAAAATTTTGTCAATGACATTCTTACAACCACTCATTTTGAAATTTAAAGAATAGATTGTGACCTACATATATATTTATTGAAGCGTTTTTATAACGTTTCATGTGGATACTGAAATAGTGCAGAAGCACCTTCTAATGGTGAAAAGAAAAATAAACAACCATGGTTTCATCATGGTATTTAATTATGATTTTTACTTTCCTATAATTAGATTGATATGAAATTTTGAATAATTAGGTATGAAAAAATATATATCATTTGTTTTTGATGCAAAATGGTCGCAAACATCCATAATCATCAAACCAAACACTAAGAATGAGTACCAAAGTTCGAAAAAAAAGTTATTAAGCGTTGCACACAATCAATAACACACTCCTAACCATTTGATTTCACATTGAGCAGCTAAGATTGAGTGTGACCACTTTACGTCAAAGTAAATAATGTCATCCCATATTTTCTCATTAGGTGTTGTTATCTGTTATGTTTGAAACCCCCCTACATAGAAGATGCTACCTGTAATTGAAGTTACAGAGCAGTGTAAAAAAATACTTGAAAAGTTTGTAAATTTATTGTGAGTTTTTTTAATGTTAGACTTGAATGTGTAACTTAAAAAAGTTATTTTGTCCCTTTCTCTAAGAACAGGAATTGGGTGGTACCTGGCAATCCGAATCCCCCCGGTTCAACTCGGACGAGTCGTGGTTATGAACTAGGTATTTAAAAATTATAAAAAAAACAAAGAGATTTCAGTGATGACAAAGCTTTGTACCCAAACTCTTTGCAAACAGACCCAGTGAACAGCTGCCATGAGGCAGTCAAATGTAGCCCTTTAAGAAATCAAAACACAAAATTTTGTAAGTTAATTATTTAATATTAATATGGCAAATTTGAGGTGTTAGGATTTCAGATATGGACTCAAAGCATAGGCAGTCTAGGTATTTTGTAAGTTAATTATTTAATATTAGTATGGCAAATTTGAGATGTTAGTATGTGGCAAAGCCTGCAAATATAGAAATGCTGACTTGGCAATAAATATATTTTTTAAATATAAATTGATATTAATTTTTTGAGAATATATGATCTTTAACATAAAGATCATCACTGTGAAAAACAAAATGGAAACTAAAAATAATAATTATATTAAAAATATTTTGACCGTTAGTTATAATTGTCTTCTTATTTTTATAATAAAAATAAAAATATTTGGACCATTAGTTACAGTTTTTTATTTTTAGTTATAATAAAAAACAATCATTCAAAATGATTTCCCAAGGTGTTGTTTTTTCATTTTTATTTTAAGATTCATATAGAAGATATTGATGACTGATCTAATGCCAAAAAAAGAACCCAAAACGCAAAACCCAAAACCCAAAGATATTGATGCCGGATCTTATACACCTGATTATTTATTCCTAAGAACATCTCCATATAATGACCTCTCTCTCTCTCTCTCATGGGTTTATGACCTGAATTTGCTTCATTTCCACCAACTCTCCGAAATTATGAAGCTCTACAAAAAAAAAAAAAAAGAAAAAGAGAAGAGGGAGAGAGAGGAAAAAGCTTTCAAAGACAACTTCAACCTGTGCAATTGAACAAGCTCTGTTGCATCTCCAACATTTAAGCTCGGGAGAACAGGTAAAACTAAAACAACAGTCACTAAATTTGCAGAAGTATACAGGGAGGAAGAAGCCACCAAACCCAGTTCAAGTGATAACAAACCAAAAAGCCACATATGAATAACAAAGAACAAAAGGGACCGTACAACATTCCTTGCAAAACCAACCAAACAAAACTGTAACTGGCCATACTATAACAATAGCATTTCTTTTATATCTGGTGAGGGAGCCGCGGTATGGCTTGGACAAATTTTCAGAACCCGCCAATTATACTACATGCTGCATTTTGCTAGGCCACTGATCATGCCAGCTGATGGAAATAAACAGGGGCATTTTGCTGCAGGGCCGAAGTAAAACTTTAGAGGGAGAGAGAGAGAGGTTTTTCATGATCCTGCTGCTTGTTTGGATCATCCGTCTGCCTGGCCTGAACACCACAGCATTTCCAAATGAGTTGAGAGTGAGAGAGAGAGAGAGATTTGAAGACTTTCCATAGTTAAAGGTATCTGGATCAGTCCATGCATAGTGGAAGACAACTCTTTATTGTCGTTCTGTGCGTTCATGAGCGTGAGTGAGAGAGAGAGAGAGAGAGAGAGAGATGCATGCTGCTGATTATTCTCAGGGGGTTCATCTATCTACCTGGAGATGCAAACATTGAACGATCTCTATTTCGGTTTGATATTCTGTCCTTTGGTGAAGAGGATGACTTCCCACCATTGGCAGCCAGTCGTTTCTTCATCTCCTCTGAAAAACAAAAATGCCACAACCTAAAAGTGAGAAAACATATAAAACTCAAAGATCCATAAAACCAAAATCTAAAAGTCTCGTGTACCTCGTTTTCTCTCGAGCTCCTGGTCCAGCTCTTCTTTCCACAACCGCTGCATCTCAAAACAGCTCGCACTGCACAAAGTCCATTTTCAGACAAGAAAAATGATGCGAAATATAACTACAGACCAATGGTTTCATTGGGGGCATGAACATCCAAGACAACAATGGAATAGTAATGGGAAGAGAGAGAGAGAGAGAGAGAGACCCATCCATCTTTTATTTCCTTGGATAAGTGGAAAATCCAATGGACTTCCCCCAAAAAAAAAACAATAAAATGGGGAAAGATACATAAAATAACTGTTATTCGTTGATTCAAACCTTGGGCCAGTTGAATTTTGCTGACCACCATGGTAAAAGCCTTTCCATTCATTAAGCTTAGGGGAGGGGACCTCTTTCAGAGCACTAGTATTGTTTGCTTGATAGTTTCCACAATAAGAAACTCTCCTACTAGAAATACCAGAGGAATTGTTGCTTGTGCGATCGCTCATCCCCCCAGGAGAGATACTAGTCACCTTGTTGGGTGACTTGCTCTTTGGGGGCAGCTTAGAAGGAGTAACGCATGTTTCATAGCGATTCTCCACACCACCTAAACAGGCAGCATTAATGGTGTTGTAATATTCTTCATAGAGTGGATTCTGCAGCTTCTTCAGCTCCAGAGCCTATTATGACATGAAAAACCGCATAAATTTATCTAAAAACAAAAATGTGCACATGAAGCACTTCAGCTAAGAAAGAAGCCAGCACAAACATGTGTGTGTGTGTGTGTGAGAGAGAGAGAGAGAGAGCTCATCGAAGATAAACTGAAACGTTTCAGCTTAAGAAGAAGCCTTAGAGAGAGAGCGAAATGTTTCAGTTCTACAAAGAAACAGGGCTAAAAAGCACATGCTTTCGTGTGTTGTGCAGAGAGAGAGAGAGAGAGAGGTTGTTTTCCTCCTTACTTTTGTGTACAGGGGGGGGGGGGGAGGAGAGAAAGAGAGAGACCTTCTCATCCAAGAAGGCACTGATTTTTGACTCTGTGACTTCATCATCTTCTTCATACAATGCCTGTGTAGTGGAAAATCTGATGTCATTTCTCTCTTTAACAGCCTGAACTGCTTCTGAAGTTCTTGCATCCACCACCGATTTACCAGTCCTGGATAAACCCAAGTGTCTCTGTCCCATACTTTCATTAAACTTACTCTCCCAGTCATCTTGGGGCTCAGACATGGGATTACAGCTCTAGAAAACAAATCACACAAAGACTTTGAAACATCAATACTTCTCTTCAACAAAAACACAATTCAACTAGAAATCTTATAACAGAAACATGAATGCAATACATAGAATGGTATGCCTTCCTAAAGGTAGACTATACGGTCTTACCATTGTAGACTCATTTTTATCTGGAGAAAAATCCAGCCTCACTAGATCATCCTCATCGTTGTCATCAATCCGGCATAGATCCCCACTGGTACCAGATTCCCAAATTGATCCCATTCTCGAATCTTTATTTGGATATATAGCAGAGGCCCTTACACTTCCAAGGTTCGGAACATCCTGCCAGCTTCCCATTGCACTAGGCCTACTCATCATGTTAAACCTACAGAGACATATAGAGAGAGAGAGAGGCCTTATATTGAGACAAGATAATATTCAGGACAGGATGGAAATCTCAAGTAATACCCATCAATTTTATTTGTATTCCACTGTCTAAGAGAAGCCCAACACTTACGAATTCTTCAGGTACATCCCAGACTGCCTCAACAAATTCACAGATTGCTCCTAATAAAAGGATCACATTAATCAAAGGATGAAAAGCTGAAGTGCTGAACTCATTGTTTTCCCTTTTTTATTTTCATACTAAAGATCTATAATAGAGGGCTTAAATAGATGTCTAAAGAAAAGTTTGAGCATACCATAACTGATGTCCGAGATGGGAGGGGATCCTCACATTCACCAATTACAAATGGATGCTGCATGAAACACAAAAATTTGAAATCAACAATCAATAATAGAAAACCACAGTTCTAGGTTTTAAAAGAACTGATTTATTTGCTATGAATAAAAAACGGAACTTTTTAGACTGATTCTAGTTTCAAAAAAACCTGGAGCAATTCAGAAGCAGTTGGCCTCACGTTTGGTTCCCTGCAGCCAATTGAATGTCACTGACATAACAGAAATGAACGGCAAATCTAAAAGTACCAAAAAGTATAATGTAATTGAATGGAGTATGATATATGGTATCCCAAAGGGGCATCCACTATCCATTCTTGACTACAGATATGAAGATTAACCATAGCATGTCCAGTGGTCACCAAGGTAAAGTAGATTTCCACTGTCCACCATCAAGAATGGACAATGGACGCCACTTCGGAGTATTGAATACCACATTTGATCAGATTATATTCTTCCTACAAACAAAGTATTCAGAAACATAACAGCTGGTTAAGAAAATTCTCAAACGGATAAATGTGAAATAAAAAAGCATCAAGAGACATGAGTCATGATTAAATGTAACTACAAATCATAAACATAAATACATAATTACAAGTGTCATATTATCATGAAGGACCTATTTGATCAAAATGCCCTATTGTGGGCAATTATAAATTGCCTTCCTGCTAATCAATCCAAAAGCCAGATGTGAGGAGCTAGGGACCAAAGCAATGGCTAGCAATAACAGAATAAGAATTTTGATTCAATTAGTTCAAAATTAAGGCACATGGATTGTTCTCTCTGGGCGCCGTACCTATGTCTAACAGATATCGACATGTATACCTAGTACCAACACAATCTTCTGGATTCTTCTTCTTGTTTATTAACCATTTATTACATCACTTTGGAGACTTGATCTAGTTTTTTGTCTTGAATAGGCCCATGAACTTTGAAAATGTCTATGGAACTTTTGAAAATATCTACAGATTCAGTCATTTATGTGTAACTGATCATATTTGTTACTCATCATGAGATGAAGTTTGAGCAAAACAATGTTGGATTTAGTTCTCTCTATGATATAGCCATGTTGAAGAATCCTCTTGGAATGAAATATCCCAGACCTTGTCCCCATGTCAATCACCGATACACATACCCATGTCCATGCAACAATAGTTAAACAATATAAAATGCTGCCAAGTTTCCAAAAGAAGCTATGAACAAACACTGCCAACTCACCCCCAAAAAAGAAAAGAGCATGAGCAAACAATCCTACAAGTGCACATGCAAGGAGCATGCCTTCATCCAAAAAAAAAAAACACATGCAGTATCCTACTAACCATTTTAAGTAGCTATAATTTGCACACAAAAAAAACATTTAAGGGGGAAAAAAACAGCTAGTTTTTTTATATTGTTCAATGAGCTTCATCACAATGTCTGAGACTGTGTAAAAGGCTTAAATCTGTTTTCTCATTTTACGTTCTGCAGGTTCTAAAATTCAACTACAAACCCCAATAAGAAAATCATATCCCATAAGAAAATCATATTTTCCTATCCTTTTATTTTTCCTTAAAGAAAATTACAATTTTCATACTTTATTGTTTGTTTATTTCTCTGCATCTTATTTCGAGAAAGCTATATGCAAGAGGTGGGTCACTGCCAACTAGCACAGTGTCAGCAAGTCATGAGGTGCCTGTGATATGAACCTTTTAGTATTCGTGAAACTATAATCTTTGTCCAAATGCTACAATCTCATATGCAAAATAATTAGGTGCTTATGCTGTTATGCATTCTAACGATCATAATACTTGCAGTTACCAGGACTTTCTGCAGCTAGTTATAACCCACATTTGTCATTTAAGTTTCACGAGAGGAAGAATTCGTTAAGCAGATAGATATCTGTAAGTAAATCTCTTGCAGTTTTATTATCGTAGTTTTTATGCCATAAAGTCAACTGATGGGGGCAAGTGTGTTAGAAAGCTTTCCTTTTATGAAGAGGTAATCATTAAACTAAGTACAAAAGGTGCACACAATTTGTTTTTTGTAGAACATGGGTCTGCATTTCCATAAATCCATGTCCAACATACATATGCACCAATCCACCGAGCAAAAAATTTAATGCTAATTTATGTTAAGTACGTATAAAGCACATGCACTTACTCTTGTAGACATTTCAACAAAAAATCCTTTGCCTCCTCAGAGAGATGTTCTGGAATGGGTGGATGCGACTTTGTAGAACCAATAATGAATAAAGCAGCAACCTACAGGTTATCTAAGAGTATTAAATTGACTATCTGAAAAAACAATTTTTCACAAATGTGAATGAAATTCTATTTTAACACAACGCATTCTTCCATAATACAACAATCTATTCCAATTTGTACTGATAGAAATATGAGGAAATCCACAGAACATGCCTCTTGATACTGCTGGCTCCATGGAGGTTTCCCAGTCGCCATCTCAATCACAGTACATCCAACGCTCCATATGTCAGCAGAACTGTATAAAATAATCAGACTCAGTCAAAGTGGCCTGTTTCATTTAGGTTGTGATCATACTACTAGAAAGAAGAAATCGTAGTATCAAATATAAATGAAATAGTTACTCCTATGGACCTTCCACACTTAGCCAACATCTACCATAACTGCGATGCAAGCCATAGATTCCTCATATAAAGTTATTTCTATAATGATAATCGGAATGTGATCAACTTCTGACCCTCTAAATGCATGTTTGTGAAGAGGCATATCAAATCTCAAACATTGAAGGATAAAGTTAAATACATTGCTATGGTATTAACAACATAATATGCCTCACATAGCCCTTCAAAATCTTAATTCCTCTCAAATCTCATAACTAGCCAAACTGGCCGTTGCACAGGGATACAATGCCAGGGCATTTCTCATCATCAGTAATTAGAAATGCTAAGGCATAAATTGTGAGATGGAAAAATACATAATAAGCTAAACAAATATGCTTTACAACCAAAGAGCAACACCTTTGTATTTATAGAATTGAAACCATGACATTTTTCTGACTTCACAAAGAGAATTTAGAAGAACAACCAATAAGAGGAAAAAGTAAGGAATCCACCAAGATTACAGGCACCAATATCATTTATGTGATTAATAAGTCAACATAATTCAATTGCAAAACAAATGATAACTAACTCATTGGTAATAGTAAAACACTGTCACTTTTACAGAATGGCAAAAAATGGTAGAACACTATACTGTATAAAAGAGATAAAAATATACAAAAAGAGATACATCCAAGAACAATGTAGCATTACAAACTCCTAAATAAAGGTAAAATTTTCATTGTAACAAATCAATCTGAAGAAATGCAGTTTGGTTAAAAGTATCTTACAAACTATGCCCTGTCTGACATATTACTTCTGGTGCCATCCAATATGGAGTACCCTTCATTGATTTCGCACCCGACACAGTTGCCTTCAATCAATAAGTCTCAATAAGCTCCTAGTACACATGATATTTGAATAAAAATTGAAGCAAAGCCAGTAGTCATCTAATGAGAAGAAAAAGGATTACCAATTCCACCACTTTTTTAGATGCACCAAAATCAGCCAACTTGATGCATCCCTTATTATCTACAAGGATGTTTGCACCCTGAAATGCGAAACACCCGTTAAGAAAAATGCCTTAGAAAAGCTAATGGTAAGTACCCTCCATTGCATGATTATCAGCACAAGAAGCACTTCCAACCTTTATATCTCTGTGAATTATCCCATTTTTGTGGAGATATTCCAGTCCCTGTAACAGCTGCTTTGTGTATTTTCTGATAACCTGCAAAAAAATATGTTCACATTGGCAATCAAATTCACCAAGTTTCCACAAAGAAATAGCAGCTTTATGCAGGGTGCCAACTTACAGTTTCAGGGAAAGAACCAAGTTTCCCCAAAAGTGAAGATATAGATCCTCCAGGAACAAACTCCAAAAGAATATTCAGTGCTTCCTCCTCTCTATCCGTTCCAAGATAACGCTATCAAATAGTAAGAGAAATCAGATGGGAAATCAATAACCGTCAGCTCTAGGGCATTGAAAATTCATGGAAACATAGAACTCACCACTATATTCTGATGAGAGAGATTTCGAAGCAATTTGACCTCTTCCTCAAGCTCTCGGATATGAGCCTATGTGAAATTTTACCAACATCAAGACAAATTCACATTTCAAAATTTTGAGAGAGAGAGAGAGAGAGAGAGAACATTCACAGTACTCTTATGAACACCAACAAGGCAACAAATTCATAATGCATCAAAGAAAACAGAGGCACTGCAAATTGTATTTTTTTTATTAATTGAGTAACTCATAATATATACCTTTTGTGAAACTTAAACTTGCCAAACAAGGCTGGGAGGACAACGAGCACCAGGTACAATTGACATAACATCTATGACTGGTTGACAAGGCATAAGCCTGTGGGTGATTTGATAATTTATGGAAGTGAAGAGACTAAGCTAGATATATTTCATATGAAAACGTTTTATTCTTGGATACATTTCATTTTTATCCATTTATTGATTGGGGGGATAGAATAAAATAAAGAAGGAAGGCTAAGCTCCTATCAAATTAAAGATTCCTCAATGTTGATTTCAAATAGAACTGTAAAGAATCAGACTTCCATATTCATATGATGTAATTGAATTGACACATAGTCATCAATGAATTAAGAGTTTCAGACTATATCCCCATTCCCCAATCCAACCAAGAAAACACTGAAATTGACTAAATTTTCAACAGGAAATAAGAACATATAATATGCAGTCTACACTGAAAATGACTAAATTTTCAACAGGAAATAAAAACATATAAAATGCGGTCTGAGAATGTTGAAATCTGATACTTACTTGAGCTCTCTCTTTCGACCCACCATTTGCGGCAATCAAAACCTGAATTAAGAGAACAATCAATAACCAATCTCTGAGAACTTACCAATCCAAAAATATATAAAACAATTGATCTTTGAAAATTTATCAAAATTCAGAGAAATTCACCTGCGTCCAATAAAAAACTAAACTTTTTTCAAAAAGAAAAAGAAGAAGCACAAACAATCTCTGAGAACTTACCAACAACAAAACAATCAATCTTTGCAAAAAGAAAATAATGGAAAAACTCACCTGCTTAACAGCCAAGAGCTCTCCAGAATCAAGGTTCATTCCCATATAAACTCGGCCATAGGCTCCACAACCTATAAGCTCGCCCTTTCTCCATCTGATCATAGGTACATTACTATGAGCTTTAGGGAGAAACCCAATTCTCGATTTCCTAAGACAAGCTCCAATCCCTCGCATCAAGCCCCCTTCGTCAACATCAGAGCTTCGGAAAACTAGAGATCGACGAACTGAACCAAAGATATCCTGCATCCTTCCCTCCAAATTCAAGGCCCAGAAACCCTAGAATGAAGGGCAAATCATGGATCCTTGAATTTCAGAAACCCTAATTTGGGCAAATCATGGATCATTGAGTTTCACAAAACCCTAATTTGGAACAAACCAATCTTTAGGTTCTGGCTGATGAATCCAAAACCCTAAGTTCCTTTTCTGGGTGAGCGGAAACCCTGACTCTGATCAATCTGATCACTAAGGTTTCAAGAAACTCTAGTGAATCAGATGAATTAGGGACGAATCTCACCCCAAAAAGAAATTTTGATCGTAAAAAAGAAATCTTGATCATAACCCAAAGGCACATCACATCACCAGAGCATTTGTTTAGAAAGAGAGAGACTGCTACTGTGTATTTGGTATCTGAGAAAAGAGAGTATAATTTGCTATTTGATGAGAGAGAGAAGAGAGAGAAAGCCTATCTTGGTGTTCGATGGGCCGTTGGAGAGAGAGTTAGTCTTTTAGAGAGAGAGAGAGAGAGAATTACTCAGTGTTTTAGAGAAAGAATTACTCAGCGTCAGTGTCTTAGAGGGAGAGAGAGTGTGTGTGTATGTTTGCTTGGGGGAAGAGACAAGGTTTTGAAAAAGGGGCACTGATAACGGCCAGGAAATGGGCCCGTTCTTCCGTTGGATTCCGAATCCAATGGTGGGAATGGACCTAACTGTGGATTCAAATTTCAAAGAGAGCGCCGAATAAAGAAATGAGGAGAGTGTAGACGCATAAATGACTCAAATTGTTCATATCTTCTCTTTAAATACCCAAACCATCCAGAGCGCATTCAAAACCGTGTAAAAGAGTGAAAGTCGGTCACTTTCACCCGTAATCATAGCTTTAAACGCAGTAAACTTTGTCTTAAATATCTGAGATGACCTTAGTCTTTTATGATAATGAAATTTTAAATTAGGAAAATTACACTATTCGCAACTTCCTCCACTAAAAATTTCTCACTGAATTTTGTGCTCTCACCAAGAACTCGACTATATATTTTTTCTAATAGAACCCAGTGAGGAGTAAGTTAGTCAGGCTCGGGCCGAGCTTAGGTGGTCTTGGGCCGGGCCCATAATCCCATGGGCTTGGCCTCACCCGCATGTGGATATCCTGGCCTCGGCTTAGACCTTCATGGCTAGGCACCCAGGCCGGGCCATTTACATGATGTTAAACTGTTCATGTATTGGGGACATCGGATCTTTATACCAAGGCTAGGACCTGGCCCTTATGCTAACAGCCCTTTAATGGGGACACTTCCCCCGCCTAATGGCCCCCATGGAAAGGCCCGAAGCAGCAAACGCATGTCTGGCTAGGTGTTTATCCCCAACAAGGGTAATAAAAACATTTGGAGCAAATACCTTTTTCATTCTCAATGATTTCTGCATAGAACCCAGTGAGGTGTAAGTTGGTCAGGCTCAGGCGATCTTTGCGCGGTGGGCCTATTAAGACTTTGAACTCGGGCTTGGCCTCGCCCGCACCTTGATATCCTAGCCTCTACCAGGCCTTCAAGGCTAGTCAAGCAGGCCCGGGCCATTTGCACGGTGTTAAACTAAAACTTCATGTAATTAGGGCCATCAGATCTTAATACCAAGGCTCGGACCTGGCCCCTTATGCTAACAGCCCCTAACGGAGACCCTTCCCAGCCTAATGGGCCCTATGAAAGGATCCGAACCAAGCCCATGTATGGCCGGGCCTTTACCCCCAATGGCGAGCTATGATTTGGACATGGGGTTCGGTGTTATCGCACCAAATCTCAGTGTTATCGAACCAGGTTTCTTGAGGGAGAGTGGTCATTCCTTAGATGCTGATCGGGTTGTGACTGTCGTAACCTCTATTAGAACAATTTATCAAAATAGCCATACAAAATATATTATTTCACAATTTACCAATGTCATTTTGCTTTAATTTCAAAATACCAATCAAAAGATACATGGTCGTGAATTAGAATAATTGCAAATAAGTAAAAAAAAAAAAAAAAAAGAATTATGCAAGGTTACAATCTTAAAATGTAGAATTAAGGTACACCTAAATAATCTATCGTAAAAGGTTATTGTAAAGTTGGAAAACCCTTTAATTGATCATCTCGACATCGAGATATATAAATATAAAACAAATAAAAAAATAATAATAATAAAAAAGTCTAAAAATTATTACAACTTGTAACACATTATCTGGACCGTCTATTTTCAAGATTTTCATCTATAAATTCATACATTTATAGATGCGATTGATTTGAACTTTGTTTAGAGTTTAAAATTTTATAATTAAAGATAAAATAGATTCTCATACTGTCCTAGAACTTTTCGCCAGAAAAATTACATCTCAGTACAAGGTTTGGGCGTGCACCTTAATTTTGATTGTTTAAGGTCGCAAACCACACCCATAAATACTTCATCTTTTGTGAGTATTTCGTTGGCTTGTTGGTTCTCTCTCTCTCATTGTAACCTCTTATCTGATTTTGAAGTGTGATGCATGGCTTGTGTGTAAACAGGGACGCTCTTGGTCATAACTGGATCATGCCTTCCGACAAGTCCAAGGTTAGACACAGACTTGATAGCCCGACCTGGACCTGAACTTGAGCCATCAGGTTGACTCCAGGTCAAAATATTTTTTTTTTTGTAAAATGCATATTTTATATTTTCATATTATAAACCATAAGTCTCTACATAGAAAATAATTGATCTAGTTCACCCTGATCATGCCTTATTAGTTACTATTCAGACCTGGCTCGAACCGGACCCGAGTCTAGTCGACCAACCATTTGACAACCCTATCTTAATCTCCATGTTTGTGAGTCCTGTCTTGGGTGTTTGGCAACTAAAAATTTCGATGATGGAAGTCGAACTTTCTAGAGAGTTTTTAGTTTGGCAACTAGGAATGCCACAATGAAAGAAAATCCTTACATTTCTCAAAAATGATAAATTGGGTCTTCCACCTTATAGAGAGTAAAATTCTTGAAAAAAATAGAAATGCGGATTTCTCAATTTTTGGACTCATTTTGAAATGTTAGGACAGATCTTTATTTATTCAAACAACATAAAATGAGTAAAATACCTTCATGGGTATTCTGTAATTTTATTTTTCATAAATATTTTATATATATTGCCTTGCAAGTTTTTAATGTTGAGATGTGTAGACTCCCAAATATTCAGTTGATTCATTGTATATAAAATAAAAGTGAAAATACTCATGTATGCTCTCAAACGTTCAATCAAGATTGGAAGGTTGAGATCAATAGCATTTTAATTGAAATACTCAGATAGCTTTCAAGTTACAAAATTGATGTATGAAACTTTTGTTAATTTTATTTTTATGAAATATCAACTTCAGACATTGAAAATACAAAATTGATGTTTGGAACAACTTGAGACTTTAAAAGTCCAAAGTCGATATTTAAAACAAATTCAAACACTGAAGGTCCAAAGTCGACATTTAAAACAACCTCATACTTTTAAGGTCTCTTACTAAGATTACGAGTAGGAAAATGTTTAGTTTTAGTTCCTCGAAGCCCAGAGTAGGGATAATTTTGGCAAAAAATATTAAAAAAATGGGTATAAAATTATGAATATAAAATCAACCTCTTACCGGGGGATTTCTATATTAATTAGAACGTAGATAGATATTAGCATAAATTTCGTTCCAAGCCCTGTGACAAACAATAGGGCAAATAATGATATATTCCGGCAGTCTGCTTTTTCCTGTTTTTATTATTTATTTCATTATTCTTCTGTCTTTTATTTTTATTTTTATTTTTATTTAAAGACGAGTGTTTTATAAGGCTTAGGTTTTGTGAAAATAAAATAAAGTCTCACCTCAAATCCTTGTCCGAAAAGCATTTTTGGCAACAAAAATCTCCATGGTGGCTCTAAAATCAATTTTTAAGGTTAACAATGAAATTCGAAAACTTAAAACATGGCACAAATATTGCGGATCCATGAACTTATTTTTAGGGCAAAATGGATAGTCTAGATAAACAATATACATTGTTTTTAGAGCTTCACAACCACAATATTCATGCCAAGATGTTAGATGTAAAGATTTTATAATGCTTGAATTATAATTTTTGATGAGTTATAAGATGAGGTTTTACTTATTTTGATAGGGCTGCAGCCCTATCAAACCAATTTTATTTTTTTAAGCTTTCATTCCAACAATCTACTTCCATATCTCATACGGCCCAACAAATTTCCATCCTAACATGGTGATGCTCTTGGACTCCATTTCCTTATACTCTGATTTTTTTTGTGTTTAATTTAAGTTATTTGAATAGTCTCTTACTTTTCCAACAATTCCATTGAAAATCCAAGGGAGATAAGGGTGTTGTTTGTATAAGGCTAATCCTCCAAACAATCAAATTAAGACACACCTTCAAATAGTGTAAAAAAATGTCGTTTCAATACCATAAATCTTTATGATGACCTAAAATTTTTGTTTTATCTCTAATTATAAAATTAAAGGATAAAAAAATAGTGTACATTAAACTCATCTATAAACATTTTAAAATCTTAAAAATCAATGGTCTAGATAATGCATTACAAGATGTACTAAGACCTGAAGTCTAATTTTTTTGTGTCCATATATCTCAAAATCCAAATGATCGGATTTGAGGATTTTACAACATACAAATTCTTCTAGTGAATTTTTTAAGTACACTTAAATTTGATTATTTAGAGCCTCAACCTTATGGAAACTTTTTCTTCCATAAAATAAAGCAAAGTATGCATCTTTGCATATAGTCACGAGGATGTTTATAAGGGCACAACGAGCTTGAGCTACATGTGCATTGGATATTAACTTTTTACCTTTCAGATACAACACGTTTGTGAAAGTTATAAGCCATCAGATTTTAGACAATGATAAAGACTTTTATAGGTAAATTTTAACAAAAAGAAAAGATGTCTAACATCGATCATGGCACTCATTGTCCACCACTATCCTACCTAGTGTTTAAAATACAACGGTCTGGATCGAGAATCAGGTCTGGATCAAGAATTGGTTCGTACAATCGATCATAATTGGGCGAGCTCGCCTTTTGTAAAAAAATGGGGTGAGTCTGTTTGGGAATCGGGTAATTGGGACCAATCGAATCACCCGGTTCCTACTCATTAAATTTCTATTAATTTTTTATCTTCTTATTTTTTTAAAATTTTTTGAAGTGATTACCATGCCGCAGAATCAATATGATTCATCAATCCTGGTCGAATTTCTAGAAGGTCAGTTCACCTAGCCGGTCCGGTTTTTGGGAACATTGTGCCAACCCATAAAAATAGAAGGTAATCAACCTCATGACCACAATGGCTTTTCCAAACTAGCACCAATTCAGATATTTCCCTAGTATCCAAAGGCATTTCGGTCATTTATTCATACCCAATCCCTAATCTATGAAGAAAAGAGGGACTTATTACCCTTTTCACCCTATGCAAACAACCAGTGGTTTTTTAGAGAGAGAAACAACCGAAGGCTCTCACTTTCTCTATCTCTCTCTCTCCTGGTTTTTTTCACTCACATCAATTCGTTAACAAATCCCCGCCCTTTTAGACTGGTTTCCATGGGCAACGGCTACGATTGAACGGCTAAATCGTTTCAAAGATTCAAATTTTTGGTGGATGGGTCATAACAATGGACTACCAGGTGGATCTCTCACTTTTGATGATGTCGCGAGGTTCTTCTCTCTACCCATTGCTGAGGCCGCCTCTCTTCTCGGTAAGAAAGATTTATCTCTCTTCAACTTCTCTTTCTCTCTCTTCAACTTGTCTGGTGGTTGTGGTTTTCATGAATTTCTTTGTGGTGTTCTTGGGTGGGACTGGGTTTTGAGGGAAGAATGGATGGAACCCTAGAACTCTTCTCTCTCTTTCCCACTCTTTCTCTGTCTATCTATACACTGTGAGTACATGAATCTGCAAATTCGGGGGTGTTTGTCAGATTGAGTATTGGAGCTGGGGATTTCTGTGGTTTTTTTCTGGTGGTTTATCGCTATATGTGTCTCTAATTCTCTATATTTGCCTCCTCTTTCTCCTAACATTCCTCTCTCTACATATGCCATTTTACCCTTCACTACTGACTCATTTGCTGGGATTAAAGAATGGGTTTTAGAGTTTGGTGGGTTTTTTCATTGTGGGTTGATGAATCACTGCAAGATGGAGTTGAGTACATTTATTTTTTTCTGTTTTTGTTTTTGAATTTGGCATAAATTACCCTTTTCTGAATTTTTATTCCTTTTTCTTGTTGTTTTTGTTTTGAATTTGGCATAAATTAGCAAAGGTGAATAATTTGACCTTGCTGGGATTGGTTGTACCCTATGAAAGTTCTGAAACCATGCTCAGAAAGCTTTTTGTGACCATAAAGAGGTTTTGAGCAGTCAAGATAGAATGGCCTAAAAGCGTTAAAATGGAACCAATAGATAATTCCTGTGTAGAACTTGATAATCCTCCTTCTACAAATCACCTTGAGGATACACATTTATCACCAAACTGTCGCAGTAACTACTTTGGAGACAATTTGTGTGCATCGTGTGACGTCATCATCTTGTCCCTGGGAGCAATGATCCTGTCACAATCTAATTTGTGCTGTTTCTTGCAGCCTTGGGTTACTGTTCTGGCTTCATATGTTTGAACCATCAAATATGAATTATTTCTTTCTCGATAAGTTATCAACTAGAGTTTATGAACTCGTGGGGGAGTAGCAGAAAAGAATAAATGGACATTACAAGAATCGCTCAAGACGTCCCCTATCTTTTTCTGTGTTCATATGAGCACGCACTTGGCGATTCTAAAGGAAATGGAAAAAACAGTGAAAATGGAGTGGTTATCTCTACCTCTCACTCTTCCCTCCACATATATGAATGCATTGCAAGGGATCCTCTCTCTCTCTTTCTCTCTATCTTGTTCCGGGTGTGGCACCACATTTCTATTGTAGGATGTGACAAGTTTCTAATAAAGTGAGGATACATTTCTAATTACGTTGTGAAGTATTTATGATTTAGTTAGAATGTGTTTCTGATTTGGTTATGGGTACTATGATAGCATACAGATTATCAGCTCCTCAACCATCCCCATTGTCGTCAACGGATGGTTGAGGTTTGTTGTTCCTCCTCTCGAGTCTGTCAAATTGAAGAAGCTGTTTGAAAGACAAATGCTATAATAATATACTTTTACTTCTAATATATTTCTAATGATGTTAAGGGGAAATACCTGAAATGGTTACCTGCCTATTGTCGGAATCAGTACACCTGGCAAGGGTGAGGTAAACCTTTATATCCTAAAGCAAGTTAATGGACGGCAATAAAAGGATAAAAGGAGGTAGTTTTTGTGTTATCTAATTTATTTTGAAAGAAAATGAAAGTTTATGCGTAACAATGGGTTGTAGATCTTATTGTATCTGTGCATCCATCTGAGTCAATAGCTGCATATAACTGAAGCAAGGCTGGATGTGATGGAGATGTTTAACCTCATTCTGGAGTAGTCAAATTTTGAACTTCAAATTCATCTGAAATTTCATATTACAAACGTCCTCTAAATTATCACATTTGATTTATATTGTTCAAAAATACTAGTAGAAAAAAATAATATTAAGTTCCTTTTATTGAATAAACATGGAGCGATCATTTTCACTCTTCCTGAAACCACTACATATGGTCTTAAAATTTTTTAGAAACCATGCCTGGAGTGCTTGCTCGGGACCATGAACAGCCATGCAAAGACACGTGTACTTTATCTTCCATTGCCATCTCCGGTCGAGGATGCATATGTATCTTTCCAATTGGGTCCCCATGAAGAAATGCATTCTTTACATCCATCTGAAAGAAGTTGCGCTCTTCACTATTGCAAGTTGCAATAGCTACCTACTTTGAATGTTGATCATCTATCTCTCCCATGAACAACTACACTAGAAATTTCTTTCAAATAGCAAAATCTTTCTGTGTGCTTTTGTCTCTCTTGGCTCAAGTGGCATGAAAGAACTTTATCACAACATTATGTACTTATTTGATCATGCCACAAATATATGCAATATCAAATGCATTAAAAACATATAATTTTGATACAGTTATCATTGCACATATGTTTATTTATCTGGTAAGTAAGATACTCATTGTTTACTAAATTTTAATGGATTTGAGGAAATTTTTTATGCAGGTGTCTGTACCAGTGTTTTAAAGAAGATATGCCGTGAAAATGGTGTCCTGAGATGGCCCTACCGCAAGGTATTGATCTAAAAGTTAGTCATATCATTGATCATTACTCCAACAGTGTACTTTTAGTGGTTATGAATTTGGGGTGAGTTTCTTGGTGTAGGATTGCTGCTGATGTTTAACTACCATTCTCTATGGCTTTTTATTTGGCAAATGCCACTGTATCTATTAGAGTAGATTATGCATTACAAATTTTCATTTTACTTTTAGTTATTGTGAAAGGCAAAGGCATGTTTCCTATTATCGCGGAGAAGATGGCAAGCATTCTAAACTTGTGAGCTTGGATTTGAAAAGACCAAATCAAACTTCCTTTTACCGGCACTAACGTGTTTACGTTGTCGTTCTATTTCATTAGTTTGTATGATCTCTTATGCTAGAACTTGCAGGTTGAAAAGAATAAACCCAATAAATTAAAATGTGTATCTCAATTTTGTTTGTTTCTGTCTATGTGTGTGTGCGGGCCCTAGGGATTGAGAGCCATAGAAAAAGGCCTTGGGAGGATTGAGGATCACACAACACATACTGTATATGGTGAACCTCATTGTCCTTCACTATATTCTCTAGGAGAAGATTTCCCATTCTGTTACTTGCAAACTACATATTGGGTAATGGTAGTTTTGGAAATTTAGAAGAATACTGAAGAAAATAAAACTACTAAATGTATGTATGATGCACAATTAGACCCCATTTTATGGACCATTTAAAATGTAATAGCACCATTTTTCCGTCCACCCATTTAGGAGTAAAAAAGGTGCAGCTTAGCCTGCTCCATTATTCATGGGTTAGCCCTTTTTGTAAACTTGCTTATTAACAAAATCATGCCAAAACACCCCCCCCCCCCTTCCCCCCAAGTCTGTAAACAAAAAATAGAAAAAAGGAAAATTTGATTTTTACGTATTTCTGAATAGCTCCCTCCAAAGTTATTGGGTTGTCCAAATGGCCCTTAGTGTCCCACTGAGGATGATGTCAGCATGTAAAAAGTATATCATCCATGCATGTTGCCGTTTACTTTTTAAATGGTAATATCATTCAACCTTAAAGTTATTTACATAATATGTGTGGTAACTAAAGGCAGATTTTACAGTGAAGGATATATGTAACATCCATACATAGTGGATGTTAATGACATCTCCCCTAATTCGTTCCCCCCCCCCCCTCCACTCACTCACTCAAACACACACACACACACACACACATATACATATAGTAGCCATAATTGACTAGGAATCACGATAACTTGTGATTCCTTCTGAATTTTCCTTAAAAGGAGGTAATTGCAGTTTTGGAGGGTCATTGCCTCCTTGCAAAGATGTACATCTCCTCAGCAAGAAATCCACAATATCGACAATTTTTTTTTATCTACAACGTCTTTACAGATTTATCAAAAAATTATTGTACTCATTCTTAAGTTTCTTAAGCTTTGCTCTATAGGGAGAAATGTTGGGCGAACAAAAAACAATATACCCATAGAATGAGTGTAGCAGAGATGAGGATGTTGAGATGGATGAGTGACAAGACACGAAGGGATAGAGTTTGAAATGAATCTATTCGGAAAAATTTAGGGGTGGCACCCATAGGCAATAAGATGAGAGAGAGTAGACTTAGATGGGCTGGCCATGTATGGCACTAACCCATTACAATACCTGTTAGGAGGTGTGAGTTAGTTCAAGTGGAAGGATTGAAAAGGACAAGGGGTAGGCCCAAAAGGACATAGTTGGAAGTAGTCCGAAAAAACATAGGGACTTTTGGCCTCACTAAGGGTATGACCTTTAATAGAGTAGAATGACGGACTAGGATTCCTGTAGCCAACTCCAATTAATTGGGAAAAGGCTGTGATGATGACGATGATGATGATGATGAATCGAAATTCTTACTAAAATTTGAAGGGTAAAGCCCATATATCATGATTTTGATTCTTATAGTCGGAAATTATTCTTATACTCCAAAATGAAAGGTTGCAAATGCATAAAATTGTCTTGTCTTTCACATATGATAACAAAATTTATGCCAGATTTCAAAAGTTTTAAGGTTGCATTCTGTCAATTTTGGTAAGTCTTAGACAACCAAATTCCACCCACGTACCTAAAGTTGTGGTGGGGCTGATTAGGCATACTGGGTTTTCACCTACAACTTTAAAGTTGTTCAAAATTTTAATTACAACAGTTTTATGTGTTGGAAAAGCCCATTTCTTAGTATGGAACATAATAAAATATTAAAAACTTTCGTAACCTATTGCTTATGTGGAAACCATTGATGGAAGACAAATTATTATCTTCACATGAATAGCCACGTAACTACTCGGTGCCCAATTTGGATGGTGAATGGTTTTTATAATATATTATTCTGCAAAATAGTTCAGAGATCTGATCTAAAGTTTATGGTGGGTTGCTACAAAATAGGTACATTAGGCATGGGTTGCCTTCTTTTTTTATTGAAGCATGGGAAAAATGAAAAATAGAAAAAACGAAGTTCTATAGTGAAAACTTCCTCAGGACTTGTAGTTCCTATAGATGTCATTAGGAATGCTCAAGCACAAGAAGTTGTGTTGTTCTTTCAAAGTTGTTATTTGTGTTCTTTCCTTTCATATGAATTAATTTCTCACAGAAGTTATTTGAAATCATTATGCTCACTATAATTACTTGCTTCCTCAAGCACTTGTCTTCCCCCCTCCCCCCTTAGATTTGTGAATTTCGTGTATCACTAGGTAGGTTGAACTCTCAATCCTCAATCCATACTCATGTCCGGTAGCCAGCCCCATAGGCCTGGAATGAACTCAAAGGCCATTCTTCCCCTATTTTATTGCTATTTACTTAATGTGGTACATTGTGTTCTATAGTTTCAGGCAGGGAAAACTGTGGAAGAAATAAAAAGGGATGCAGCTAGGGAAAGAAGTAAGGGGTTTCTAGACTTGTCAAAGTCTGAAAGGCTGCAGGATGATGTTTCAGTGGATAGTGGAAAAAATTTGGCTCTTGATGGGTCATCAAGCTCACTTATTTCTCCAGTTCTGTAAGTTCTCTCATAGTGTATGTGTTATGTGTTGTAGTTTTCTAAGCATTACAACTATTCCATTTCTATATGTAGATTCCTCCTTTTCCTTTATCATGGCATCTTGCTCGAGAGAGACTCTCATGTGTTTCCTCTTTATGTTATGTGTGCTATCATCCGATGGACTTAAATTAGATGACTCTTAAAGCAACTTAACAAAGCCTAGCAAAAAATTTGAAAGCATTGCATACCTATCCATAATCAGATTAGCAGGTTGCTTTTGTGATTTAAGAACATCAAATTGCAATACCATAATTAAGGGAAAAAAAAGATACCAAAATCACAATACTCTATTTTAGAAACCCAATCAAAATAAAATGTCGCTAGACTTTAAACTTTGCAGTCAAAAGCACTGAAATATTGCGAAGCATGGAAATAGCATTCATACATCTTGAAAGGGTATTGGAAATGGAATTTGAATAACTCAAAACAGCCACCCAATCACAATGTTAAGTCCCTCAAAGCTGGTCGCATCGATTGTGGACCACCACAGTATGTTGGGGTTATCACCAGCCAATAAAATGATGGACAATGGTAGAGAGAGAAAGACATGACGCCAATGTTGGTCCCACTATGTCTCCATCATCACCTGTCAGGTCATCATTTCATTGGATATTGATGACTGGAATGGCCTGTAGTTCCCCATAATCTATTGAATTATAGTATACATTTCCTCTTAATTCCCATCTTAAATGTCATTGCACTGAACTGGACTATTGCAGCTATGTATCATAATAAAGTGAATTCCAGTACCACTTAGATAATTGATGCTAACAAGTGAATTGTTGCTAACTATGAAATCTTTTGACAACAGCTATTAGCACAGATAAGAATAACATGGAATGCTTTCTTATAATGAGAATAATACCAAACAGGATATCAGAAATAACAGTGGAATCTCTGTTTTAAGTCTTTCTTGTTTTCTTTTACCCTGGATACTATAAACATGGAATGAGAGAGATACTATAAACATGGAATGAGAGAGAATACCTAATGATAGTCCATAAATTGTTTTTCATTGGAAACATTTCGGATAGTTTTTTGGCATTGTGAAATATCCATGGTGGCTCAAGTTCTACTTTGTGACCAAGTTATGATGCTGGCTGAGGTTTAGAGTCACTCCCAAACATGAAAAGGATACTTTACTAGGCACTCATACTTGAACCTTTCTAGAAAGCAATATCCATGGTGGGACAAGTTCTATATAGAGACCACTTAATGATGCTGGCCCCAGGTTTAGTGTTATCCTCATAAGAAGCACTCATGAAAAGGATACTGAACTAGACTCTCGTACTTGAACCTTTCCAGAAAGTTTGGAGGGAAAAAAAACTTAAAACACTCCTACAAAATATGTCAAATTTGGTGCTCTTCAAACTTTGAAACCCATATGGTCTCTATTGTTCATAATCTTTGTTTCCTCATGTTCTTTAAAAGAAAGCATTAATACGTAATGTTTCTAAATATCAAGTCTGAACAAGAGATAGCAGCGAGCAAAACTAGATGAATAATACAAAAGAACGAGCATTAAATGTCCCCCTATAATAACCTACCCAGACAGACCAAATCTTTCAAGTCCCAAAACTATGATTTTGTGTTGTTTGCTATTATTATCTGAGGGTGATGTTAGATACGTGTTACTTGCATGTAAAATGTCCCCCTTTTTTTTTCTTTTACTTGCAAGGCCAATGATTCATTTTCCCCTAATGCCACTAAATAGGAGCCTTGGAGATTCATTATTTCTGTAGAAATTCTTTTGCCCAAAACCTGGTTTTAGTGTCCAAAGTTTCTCTGTGGCCATTTTAGAAAATGCAATCATAGCACAAAATCAAGAGGGACCTAGTGATTTACTGTTGGTTCTGGACCATCTTGTTCGACTTGGAGGGTGTTGTATCCGACTTAAAAAATTTAAGCCTAAAACAGAAAAGTTCAACCAATTAGTGGAGATTCTATTTTATCTTTGTGTAAATTCGAGGATTGCATCTGCACAGCTCTGTGCAGTGAGCATGCACGTGTGAGCTCCACAGAGAGAGAGAGAGAGAGAGAGAGAGAGAGAGAGAGAGAGAGAGAGAGAGAGAGAGAGAGAGTAGTAGTAGTAGTTAGTTACGTTTAGTTACGTTACGTTACGTTTAACGTTTAAGTTAACGTTACGTTT